GGTTCTCACTTCATGGCATTTTCTCTCATTCTAGAATCCTTGGAAGACACACCCAGCTGTGAGGACCAAGTTTGCTGGGGTTCATTGTTCTGTGCTAAGGTCCAATTTTTGTCTTTTTACCCAATTGTATATCATACCTATGCAGCAGTAGACTACAAAATGACAATTTGAAGAGGCTTATGCTTCCATACAGTACAAGCTTGTATCTAATATAGTGGTTGAAAAAGTAGCATACCCTGAAAGATTACTTGCTGCAAGATTTTGACTTGATTCAGACAACATACCAATCTGACTAGGTGGAGTGCTTGCAAATCAGTGGAACTGGCCAAGAACAAAGCAAATTAGAAGGGCAGTCTGATTAATCTTGGTTATCTTACTTCCCAGCTTCCAGGCAGTTCTGTGGTGTATGCATTTAGTACCACGGGGCCTACAAAGCAGGGTGTTACACAAGCTATCAGTTTTTCATTGGGACAAAAAGCCTTCACTCAGGGTTTTGCATATCACGGATAGGGAGTGCAAAGGCATATTGACAGAATACAGAGTCATTGCACATGGGTAGAAGGAACCTCAGCAAATAATACTTTTGAATAATAAACTGTTTCCAAGGACCATGCCCAAGCTTGCAGTCTTTGTCTGGACAAAAAAGCCAATACTCTGGATGTTTTCTTGATATTATCATTTGATCTGATATATATTACCTGACATTTGGTGGGTGGGAGAGGCAAACAAACCTCCAGAATCTGCAGTTTGACTTAAGCAGCTATGGTTTTCAGATGTGAAGTAAATTAGAGGCTTACACCCAACCCTGCTCACTTTAGTGTCTGGTCCACATATAAGAATATACTAAAAGACTTGTGGATGTCCAGCAATGTACTATCTGTTACTAGCTTCTAAAGAGAAACCACAGGATTTGGAACATATCAATTACTGTAGGTGAAAGTATCAAACAAGTCTTCTCTACTATGCATTCTTGATTTTTTTGTACAATGAATTTGACCCAGAGCAGGATGTTGTTCCCATCTCATACCAGACTTAAATTGTAGCCCTTAGGGTGTTTTACAGTCAGTATGGATGGGACCCTTCAGGTTCATCTCCTCTGGGAAAAAAAAACTAAAAGTTCGATCTGTGGTTCTTCCCTAGAACAGAGAATAAAGTGCATCTGCTTAGATTCCTCCTACTCCTTTCTGTGAACTGAAAAAGAGGTAGAGTGTGTGTTGAATTCTTGCCCCAGCAAACTTGATTGATTTTTTTTTTTTTTTTTTTACTACTACAAGTATTAAGAAAAGTCACAATGTGAACATTGTAGAACAGTTCAGAAGGGATGTTAAAGTAATTATTTACTGTATTTAATCTTTATATGCCTGGTTTTAAATTGACAAAGTGAATGAGGTAGTATCTTTTATTGGACCACTTCTGTTGGTGAGAGAGAGACAACCTTTCGAGCTTACGCAGAGAAGAGTTCTTCCATTGACCTAGCTGTTGCCTCTATGAGAGTTGGACTTACTACAGTGGCACAGCTGCAGTTCTGTAGCATTTCTAGAGTGGACATACCCCATCACTTTAACTTCTACTGGCTTGCCCCCCTAAATTGGAAAACAAACCACCTCTTTAAATGAGTGGCTTCAAGGGCATCTCTGGCAACATGATTTTATTAGTCCTACTTCCAAAGGATGGGGTTGGCAGCGGTATGGGCCTTTGTGTGGATACCCCTGACTTCCAGCAGATCTCAGAGACTTGAAGATTCTGGGGCCTAAGCCTCTGGGTGGTTCTTGCGGGGTGCGATGCACTCTTCTACCTCAACTCTCCCCACCCAAAAAAAAAAAAAATTCCAAAGAAACATAAGTAGAAAAATGGAAGCTTCCTGTCCCTTCACAGTTGATGATGTCGCCCTATGTTGGAAAGATTTTTAACTTACCAGTTCTCAGCCTAAAAATTGCTTTTAGAAAACATCATATAGAAAGGTTCTGCCAAGACTTTGTTATGAAGAGTGTAGTGTGACTTTAGAGTTGAGTAAATACCTAACATAGTAAAAACCTTCAAAAGTCTAAGAACAAGGCAATTCAATTGAATTTGGCCAGTACGTGATCATTAGTAAGAAATGTGTTTTTAAAGGAATTAAATGTTGGCAGTATTTAGCTATTTTGTGTTTCTTTTGATCTTTTAAATAAATTGGTAGCCAATGGGCATGAGTTTATTTGGTTTAGTGGAGAACCCCTTTGCCACCTTTGGCCAGGTAGGTTTAAGTAAATTTATTTTATGAGTGGTCCATTCCCTGATCTCCATCAACACTGTAACTCCTGGGGTGAAGGCTTTCTATTTCCCCTCCCTTCCCTTCCTCAGTGTATGATTAGCCCAATCTCTTCAGGTAGAAATTTACTGTCCTGGCACAGTATTGCAGTTAGGTGCATTTTTGGTTTTATTTTCAGAGAGACTATGTAGTCAGACCTCCTGTATAATCCAGCATTAGTCGCTGTAACAGGATAACTGAGTAGATGCACCATTGGTCTTCGTCAGGGTGACAAATTTTAAGACACCATTCTTAAACACCAGAAAATAATGGAAACTGATTCTAAGGCCTGTCACTATCCACCATTAGGAGGGCTTTGCTGGTTTATACCAGGTAAACTGGCAAAACCTTCCTAGTAAAGATGCAGTTATATCTTTATACTTGTGCCAGCTTCCTGATCAGTATAAGCACTTTTATACAGATATGTGTGACTATACTAGAGCTTTTACCAGTATAGCCACGTTGGCTTAAAAAAACAAAACAAAACAAAAAAAAAAACACTCCTAACTAACATAGCTATGCCAGCAAAGCTTTCTAGTATAGACCTGCCCTGATGCTCCTAGGAGGCAAGTGGGTAAGGGAAAATGACACGGACACAAATATTTTCTGTAAAAAAAAAAAAAAAAAAATTGTCTGCACTACGTCACCTTTGCCAGTGATTCTGTTCTGTGTGAGGCATTGTGTTCTTGTTTTTTGCTCCCAACGCTCAGTTTGAAGTCATGGACCATTCCATCTCAAACTACCGAAGGCCAGGTCTACATCAGAAACTTTCACTAGTATAGTAACATCAATTAGGGGTGTGTGGTTTTTTACACTTCTATACCAGCAAAAGCCCTAGTATAGCCGTAACAAGTGCTATTGCCAGTATAACTTAGGCTAGGTCTACACTGGGGGGGGATCGATTTAAGATACGCAAATTCAGCTACGCAAATAGCGTAGCTGAATTGGACGTATCCGAGCCGACTTACCCCGCTGTGAGGACGGCGGCAAATCGACCGCCGTGGCTCCCCCCTCGACGGCGCTTACTCCTACCTGCGCTGGTGGAGTATGCGCGTCGATTCGGGGATTGATTGTTGCGTCCCGACGAGACGTGATAATTCGATCCCCTAGAGATCGATTTCTACCCGCCGATCCAGGCAGGTAGTGAAGACAGGCCCTTATTTTATTTAGGAAACCGGTAATATACCAGTGAAAATACTTTTGCCAGTATAAGCCGTGTCTAGAGACTCTAGAGTAGGAGAGTTTTTTCTACATCTTGTCTAGTGTAGAGTAGGCCTGAGTGAGAGCCAGCACTCTTATTAACTCTTGTGGGTTTTTCCTAAAGGGGTTGGGGTGCTTAAACTATCCCCCTGCCCAAGAGTATCTCTTGTAAATGCTAAGGTGCTAGCCCTTTTGAGATATGACCTACAGTTTCTTGCTCACCTCTTGAAACTGACAGTTCTACTTAACCTAGATTTTAACTTCTAGTATTGTTAAAGGTGACCCTGAAATTATAGCAATATCAAAAAGATTTCCATTCAAGGGAAAGAAGAAACATGTTTCGGGGATTTTTAAAATTTTCTTTTAATGTCAAGATGAACTGAAGTTTGCACATTAGAGACATCAAACTTAACATCTAATCAGAGGAGAACTATCCACAGCATTTAATTAGTTTGACAAGGATCTGAAATTTGGACCATAAAGTTACTGTGTGCTAACTTGACAGGAACAAAAGTCTAAAGCTGACTTTAATTGTAAGTGGAATATTGGTCCACTACTAAAAGTAGATGTTAATGAAGGATTTGTAATGTATTAAAATAGCTAATGTCAATACTGTAAAATTAATGTTAAAGTTAAACAAGAAAATGTGGGGTTTGACTTACAGCTTATGCTTTCACTCCTTTGACGTTTTGTAGACACCTTGGGCTAACGTAGCAGCACATAATGGTTTGTGGGTTTTGAAAAGGTGCAGGCCATATTGTGCTGCCTCAAAAATACAAGGATTTCATCCTCCTGAAGAGAAATGTCACTTATGAATTAACATGATCCTGATGTCAGCAGTACATTAGCAGCACGTAAATATTGGCGTTAACTCTGTAAATATCTCCAGTATTAACTGTGCTGCTGAAGTAAAGTTGGCCATTCTCTGCAAATGATCCTAAGGAAGTACTTTGATGTCATCCGACTTATCTTCTGAGTGTGTTAATTCATGTTGTAAAAAAAAAAAAAGAACTTATTGTTTTTGTTCTATATTTTGACCAGTTCAGTACAGATTTTTAGAACCACATAGAATCTGGCAGTAAATCTAGAACATTTCCTTTAACACTGAATTTAGTATAGGAACCGTCTCAGACTACAGCCTTCTTCATAAACATTTATGAACATTTTGTCCACATGGTTATTGTACAAACTTAAATTAGTTTAAATCTCTGCATGACTTTAATAAAGCTAATGAGATTTGAATTGTTTTGTTTTACTTTCACAGCACTTCCTATACCGTTACAAATTTAAAATATATTTTGTCAATTGTTCCTCAAGTTCATCAGCTACAGCTAGAATGACTTCAGAAACTCTTTTGAACAAAAGTGGCAGTGAAAAGTTAATTATTCTAAAATTATTTCTCGCATTATAATAGCTATAAATATGTAAAGAAATAGTTTTAAAAGTATATTCTCTACAGTTGATTGCAAGATAACTAAGTTTCTCATCATCTACTAAAATCTTTCTTCTTCAGAGGAGTATTGCATTGAGACAACTGAATCTGCCACAGTAAGGATGGAAATTGCATGGGTTTCTTTCCTTTTCTTACATGCAGCGTTTAACTGTGTGGTGAGTCAAATGTAGACTTTATTGGTTATGTAAATGTGTCACTAATTTTAGATACAGTCAAGATCTTAAAGTGTTTCCTTTATGATCTTTTCTTCACTATCATGACTCAGTATCACTTGCTAGATCTAATTGTATTAGCCCTATTACATTTTACCATTATAAATCATACTTGTCCTCAAACCATACTGGCTTACATTTTAACTTATCTCCACCGGAGATTTGCCCTGATTCAGGCCTCAGTGGCCAGCCACCAGTGTGGCTGAACAGATGGAAACCTCTAATGTAGATGGGCAAAGCTGTTATGCTATAATTTTTTTCACCACGTACAATTTCAAAGAAGGGTCTGCTGTACTGGTACAAATCACAACTTTGCTTATCTATAGTATGGGCTTGCACTGGTGGACCTTACTACGGTGGCTGTTCACCTATGACTGAAATTTTCAGTTTAGGTGACACTGGACAGTCTTAGGGAATTATCTTTCACTATCAGGAAATGCTCAGTATGGGTTGCCTATTAAACACTTCAGTGTAAGTTGTTAGTATATCAAGTTTACAGGAAGAAAAGAAATGGTTAGCTAATTGGTGTAACACTGAGGTAGTCAACCCCATTTGAAACTAACAAAAAAATTCACTCTAGCCAAACCTTTGAGTGTCGAGGTGTCTGTCTTGTGTCCCATCTGAGGACATTTTGCCAAAGTGAGGTTCACTATCTGGTGTATGTTAGGTACCTGATTTAGAACTAGACAGTTTTCCTATTGGGGCTTCATCTATCAGCAGTGTGCTGTGACATTTACCATAGGAGACTTTACACATGCATTCCAACAGTCAGAGAGAATCAACTTTTATATGAATCCCTGCCGAAGAAGGTCACTCTCTAGCAGGAGGCTTGTCTTCTTGAGACTCTCCTTTCTGCAAAAGTCACCGATATAGCTAATATACTGCAGCCCAGGCTGTCAAGATGGTTGATTTTGTAGGCCCAGTGCCTTAGTATTTCTGGCCTCTGCTGCTAAGACCATTATGAGAGCTGATGTGAACCTACAAAGCTGGTCACAGATATTGCATGTGGCAGCTTCTCTAAGTGCATTTGCATGGCTTTGACATCCAAACTGGAGAATTTAAAGAGATTGTACTAGTGAGCTGAAGCTGGATGGAAATCTAGGGAGACCAATATCTAATTGGGAGGAAACAAACTGTGCACATACCATTCTCTTTCTGCTGAACCAAGAAACTATCAGAAAAACACCTGCCAGTTTGCAGTGTTTTTTACCCTAGTCTTCATCCTCTGCATAATCATAGGCTCTGTAATAGAAATGTCACTGACACTTCCCTTTATAATCAGTTGCTTATAACTTTGCCAAACTTTAACCATTTGGGTTGCAATTTTCCACTCAGGGTCTCTGCCACATGTGGATTTTATTTTTCCCTCCCAGCTGTTTCAGAGAACATTAGGGAAAAATACATTGTTTGGCCTATGTTAAAAAAAAAAATGCTGGCAACCTTTTCCTTGAAAAAATCTCTAGTGCCCTGTGCTTTGGAGCAAGGACTCCAAATTTGGGTGTGCGATGGTCTTTGTGTCTGGGATGTGTCTTTGTGAAAAATCCACCCAAGTCTGGGCAAGTTAAGTCTGTGGAAAAATTGCACTTTGCACATGCTTAAGTAAACTTCTTAGATTTTAGCAGCTAACTTCCCCAAAGATTTTGTGTGCACTGGGCATGCTCCCGCCCATAGCTGAGCAGGGCTTTCTGTGAAAGTTCAGCTCTCGAGCAGCTGAAATGAGAGTAGGGAGCCTGTCACTGCTGTGCTTTCAAAGACAACCCCCTTGCTGGGCCGAGGCAAGTTGGAGGAAGAAGCTGCCTGATTCAAATGCAAAGGGGACAAGAGCCGACCCTACAGGGGGAGTAGATGGGAACATGGGGGTGTGGGTAACAGACTGGGACAAGGGAGAGAAATAGTGGAGGGACTGAGACACAGCAGCTGGGATTGGGTGGGCAAGGAGCTAGGGGGAGGAATGGGGATAGGAGGAGGGATTTTGAAAAGGTCAGACTAGGACAGGGGTGGGCAAACTATGGCCCATGGGCCGGATCTGGAGCCCGCTGCTTTCCCCTCCCCCAGGGGCCGCAGGGACGTGGTGCCGGCTACTTCGGGGAGTGGTGCGGGGCCAGGGCAGGCAGGGATCTTGCCCTGGCCCTGATGTGCGCCGCTGCCACCCCAGAGCCCGTACCCCAAACCCCTCCTGTGCCCCAAACCCCTCCTGCAGCCCTGCCATGAGCCCCCTTGTACACCCTGCACCCCTCCTGCGCCCCAACCCCTTGCCCTGAACCCCTTCCTGCACACTGCACCCCTCCCACACTCCCTCCCACACCCCAACTGTCTGCCCCAGCCCCTATATTCATAGCCCTGCATGCAATTTCCCCACCCAGATGTAGCCCTCGGGCCAAAAAGTTTGCCCACCCCTGGACTAGGATTTGCTGAGCAAAGATACTGGAACAACGAGCCTGTGGAGTTCGAACTGGGACAGCATGGAGAGTGGCTCCTTGCCCCAGCCACAGGAGTAAAGAAGATCCAGGACGGGGACAGATTGGAGAGGATAAGCAGAAGGAGGCAGACTGTGGGGATGGCAGAAGAGTCTGTGCCTACTAGAGAACACTCCCCTCCAGAGCTTGGAATGGAACCCAAGACTCTTGGAATCTCATAAGTTCTCTGCTGTAAGCAAATATCTGTGTAACCCACTTGCAAAGTGGCCCATTCACTCCTTGTGCGGGTCCACATAGAAGATGACAAACTACTATTGCTGTCAGTTACTCCATTAGCTCAAGTGGCGGAGGGTCTTTGCATTGAAGCTAAAGTTTCCAACTCTGCTGATGTCCTGCCTGGATGTCCATATGATGTCACCTGATGGAATTTCTATTTTTTTAAAAACCTAATGTTCCATGTGTAATTTCCTATGTTAAAAGAACATAATTAAAGTTAGTCAAGCACTCAAAAATTGGGAAATGCCAGAGTTAATTGTGCCTATGCCCATTTGTTGCAGAAGTTGAGGTGTGTAATATTTGTAGTACTAGAACAGACAGAGCTAGGCTTGCCCATAACTAAAGCTCTTTTCCCTCTCTTTCTTTCCCCCTTCCCCCACCTCAAATATAGGGGAAGGAACCACTAAGTCCAGGCTACAATTGATTGCTGGGGACAGCAAAGGAGAAAAGAGGAACAGGAGTGAGGTTAAAGATTGAAAATCCAGGGAAACAGTGCAAAGAATCCCAGAGAGCACCCACTGCTTCCACTGCTCTACAGCCAAAATGCTTCTGAAATAAATGTAGTCAAACTTTACTAATTCTGGGTCACTGAGAACGAAAATGATGCTTAAAATTGTTGATTGGCTCTAGTTTTCAAGATATGCTATTGGGTCAGTATATATGACCCTTGACTTGGGAATGGTGGAGGATAAGTGAGTTATAAAGGGAAGGGATCTCAATTTAAACCAGAAATGACTAAAATACATCTTTGACTGGATCTATGAATAAATCTATGACTGGGTTTGGACAGTACTTGCTTTTTAGGCAAAACAATGAATGATGCAATCTGAAGCTGGTATTGCATCATACATGAGATGAATTGCATCATGTTATTCCTAGAAGTCATGGATGATGCAATCATAACAAAGCTTACATCACTCTGCTGAACAAATTGCCCTATATCAGCTCTAGAAATCATACAGTGTCGTGCTCTCTTATTTGTCAGTGTTTGATTTTGCAAAGGGACACATTTCTGTTTAGCCAAAGTGAGCAGAGATGCCTCATACTTGTGTGAACAGTGCAGATAACTTCTGCTATGTTTGTGGTGAAGTGACTTTTGCATCACAAAAGCGCAGTATAACGACTATGGTTAAGAAAGCCTATCACCTTTATTTTGGCTGCAAAATTGGAAATCGGGACAAGAGGTGGGCCCCACACATATGCTGCAACACTTGTGCAACAAATCTTCGCCAGTGGTTGAACAGGAAAAGGAAATCTATGCCTTTTGCAGTGCCAATGATTTGGAGAGAGCCAACAGATCATACCAGCAATTGTTACTTCTGCATGGTGCCTCCAGTTGGGAAAGGTGTGTCAAAGAAGAAAAAGTGGACTGTGCATTATCCAAACATTCCATCAGCTATACGCCCAGTACCCCACGGAGAAGGACTGCCGGTTCCTGATGCACCAGAATCATTCTCACTTGAGTCAGAAGAGGAAGAGGATGAAACTTCTGGTCCTGAACCATCAATGTCACAGGACCCACATTTTCTCCCATCCTCCTCCTCTGAACCACACCTCATAACACAAGGTGAACTGAATGACCTTGTCAAGGATTTGGAACTACCCAAGAGTAAGGCAGAGCTGTTGGGCTCCAGACTACAGCAGTGGAATCTCCTGGCAGGTGATGTTAGGGTTTCCATGTTCCGTGACCGTCAAAAGGATCTTGTCCCATTCTTCTTCATGGAAGGTGATTTGTAGCCTGCAACAACATCGATGGTAGCCCTCAACATCGTTCACGATCCAGATGAGTGGAGACTGTTCATTGATTCATCGAAGACGACTCTTAAAGCTGTTTTACTGCATAATGGCAATGTTTTGCCATCAATTCCAGTTGGTCATGCAGTCCATATGAAGGAAACCTATGACAGCATGAAACAACTTTTGAGGTGCATAAACTATGACCAACATCAGTGGCAGCTTTGTGGCGATTTGAAGGTTGTTGCTCTCTTGCTTGGTCTGCAGACTGGATACACAAAGTACTGCTGTTTTCTCTGCGAATGGGATAGTCGTGCAAGAGATTCCCACTACATCAAGAAAGATTGGCCACTCCGACAGTCATTGGAGCCTGGGAGGAAAAGTGTTCAGCATCCACCACTTGTTGAATCAAGGAAGATTTTGTTACCACCCTTACACATCAAGCTGGGTCTGATGAAGAACTTTGTCAAGGCCATTGACAAAACACAAGCAGATTTCAAGTACCTCCGTGGAAAATTTCCAAGGTTAAGTGAAACTAAGATAAAGGAAGGTGTCTTTGTTGGTCCTCAGATTCGTGAACTTCTTCGAGATGATGCATTTGACCATGCACTGCGTGGCAAGGAAAAGACGGCATGGAAAGCCTTCCAGTTAGTGGCAATAAATTTTCTCGGAAACAACAAAGCAGACAACTACAGGTTGTTGGTGGAAAACCTCCTCAAGGCATACAAAAGCCTTGGTTGCAACATGTCACTAAAGATAAATTTTTTGCACTCTCATCTAGATTTTTTTCCACCGAACTGCGGAGCAGTGAGCGCCGAGCACGGCAAGCGATTTCACCAGGACATTGCAACAATGGAGAAACGCTATCAGGGCAAATGGAGCCCATCAATGCTTGCAGACTATTGCTGGACAGTGACAA